TTCCGATAATAATAATAATAATAAATTTTAGGCGCCAAATAATAAAATGTATCAATCAAACCAGGTGACTGATTTAAAAAAAGGGGAAAAAAACAGTAGTAATAATAATAATAATAAATCAAAATCCGAAAAAAAAAGAAAACGTAGATAGACGAAAATAAAAAATTATTATTATTATTATTATTATTATTATTATTATTATTATTATTATTATTATTATTATTATTATTATATAACAACCGGTTAAAGATAAAAATCAAATATTAATTTATATTAAAAAAAAAAAAAAAAAAGATGAAAATATTACGGTGGTGAGGGGGGTAAGGGGGTGAAGGGAGTGAAGGGGGGGGGGGTTTAATAATAAAACGAAAGCGTGAAAGGATTAAAAAAATTTTAATTTTTTAATAAATTTTTACTTAACCGATTCCTTTATGTCAAAATAAAATAAGAAAAATTTAAAAGGAGACAAAAAAAACAAACAACAACAAACAACAAGCAGCAAACAACAACGGCAACCCTTTACAACCCTTATTTGATGCGGTTAACGCCCTCTTAATAGATTTTTTTTTTTTAAATTTTCGTCTTAAAATTTTTTATTTACTCGCGTACGGATTTTTTTTAACCCGAAATGTTTTGTTTTCTTTCCCCCCTTTCCTCCTTTCGCCTTCTTCTTCCCCGCCTCTCGCCTCTCGCCCGCCCCACCCCCACGAAAAAAAAGAAAAGTAAAAATAATATTCAAAATTTGAAAGCGGAAAACGTGGAAATATAGAAAACGTGACGGAAAATACAAAAAGTGACGTGATGATATTTAAGTTATTGAATAAACGTGTAATAAGAATTTTAGAGAGAGAGAGAAAGAGAGAGAGAAAGGATTTATTTTTTAAACTTTTGTGTGACGACATTAAAATTTTGTCGTCATAGAGTAATTAAACATTTTAAATCGATTTAAATCGACGTTATAAATTAATTAATAATAATAATTGTAAACCGCATTTAAAAATTTTTTATGCGTTTTCATACAACTTCTTATTACGTATTAAGAATTATTATTATTATTATTATTATTATTATTATTATTATTATTATTATTATTATTATTATTATTATTATTATTATTATTATTATTATTATCATTATTATTATTATTATAAAAATGTTTACGTTCGTCATTTGTCACGCAAAAAAAAAAAGAAAAAATGGGAAAAAAAAATTAACTCACTATAAATAATTTTAATATTAAGTCAAAACCAGAAACTTTTTTTTTTTTTTTTTTTAATTCTTCTTTTTTTTTTCTTTTTCTTCTGCTTCTTCTTCTTCCTCCCCCCACCCCCCGTTTCAAGTATAAAACAGGCGAAATAAAAATAAAAAAAAAAAAAGGAAGAAGAAGAAAATTTTTTTTTTTTTTTTCTTACACCCTCATAGATAATCGTAATCATTTCAAATCAAAGGAAAGAAAGAAAGGAAAGGTCGAAAGAAGGGAAAATAATAAGTAGTCTTAATGGTGTGGAGTTATACGGGAGAGAGAAAAATAATAAGAAAATGAGCTGAAAAGAAAAGAGAGAGAGAGAGAAACGTGGTAGCAGAAAGTGTAGGGATATAATAGGAAATGAAAAAGAACGGTTTAAAAAAAAAATGGCGGGAAGGTGAGGGAGATTTTCTCCTCCTCAAGGGTCTTCTTTCCTTTAAGCGGTGGAGGGAGAGTGGGAGGGGTGGGGAGGGGAAGGAGAGCATTCAAGGTTTAATAAAATTAAAAACCCAAGAAATTTAATTTTAATTTTTTTTTTTTTTTTTTTTTTTTTTTTAAAAAAATAAGAAAAAAAAATTTTTTTTTTTTTCCCCCATCATTGCCTAACTTTTTTTTTTTCTTTCCTTTTTCTTTTTCCTTTTTCTCTTTCTTTCTCTCTCTTTCTTTTCCTTTTAATTTTAAAATGAAATATCCTCCGTATTATATATATATAAAAAAAAAAAAAGTTTGAAACAAAACGTGGTGATGTATTAAATAAGGGTGAAAAATGAAAAAAAAGAAAAACATAAAAAGAAAAGAATGTTTTATTCATGGGACTAAAAAAAAAAAGAAAAGTAAAAAGACATTTTATTATATTTCTTTTTTTTTTTTAAAAAAAACCACAATTTAAAATATGACAAAAAAAAAAAAGAAAAACAAAAAGTTTTCTTTTTTTTTTTTCTTGCCTCCATTTTCCTTCAAGTTTTCTTCCGTAATTGTTTACGTTAAATAAAAATTTTGATTAAATTATCATGGATGACCGTTAAAAAAAATATAAAACGATTTTTATTTTTCATTTCAGATAAAATTTAAAGGATAAAAGAAAGGATAGGGGGGAAAAAAATAAAATAAATAAATAAATAAATATAAATAAATTAATAATCAAATCTAATACTCGACACAAAAGGAAAATAACTCAAGTGAAATGTGAGCGTCGTCATTTGCTGTTGACACGATATGATTGAAGCGCCCCTGGCGGCGACCATTTTAATTAAGTTTAAGTTTATCACCCGCACCGCTCGCGTACGAGTCTCAAGGAATATTAATAATAATAATAATAATAATAATAATATCAGTCGCGGAAAAGGACAAGAAAAACAATGAAAAAGGTAAATGTTAAATATATATATTTAGAGAGAGAGATAGAACGTATCGAAAGTGTGTGAGAGTGAGTGAGAGAGAGAGAGATTTAAAGGATAAATGTAAGTGTGTTGATTTTATAATTGTGCCAAACGAATTATGTCAATAGTAACTCACAGGAAAAATTTTTTTTTTATCTTTTTTTTTTTTTTTTTTTGAAAATTAACCTTATTCGGAGATTAAAAACGTTGGTAGAAAAAAAACCGCGAAATACGATTTTGAAATTAATTATTATTTTAATTGGGGAATCCCCTCCCGTTATTAAATTCCAAGGGGGATCCCTGTAAAAAAATTATTATTATTATTATTTCTAAAAGTGATTCCCTTTCTAAATATTCATTATAAATGACGGTGATTGAAAAACGTGTAATCAGACAAATTTCTTATAACGGTTGTTAATTTTCGATAGAAATAATTAAATTACATTTTAAACAAAAAAAAAATTCTTTAGAAATCGCCATTACGATTTTCAACGGAAATTGTTTTGTTTGTTATATATAGTCGTCGTCAAGGTCACGTGGTAAATTTATTTAGAATTAATTTTTTTTTTTTTTTGTCATTCGTAATAATAATAATGATTTAATATTATTTTAAATCACGAGGATCCCGGGAAGGGGGGGGAATGAGAATAAACGTTTGAAAATGAGAGAGAGAGAGAGAGAGAGAGAGAAAAATGAAGGGAAATAAAAGAAGTGTGAGAGAAAAAAGTCAGAAGGTAGAAAGAGAGAGAGAGAGTGAAAACCGCTACTATAGCAATTACTACGCATGAAATAAAAGGCAATGAAGAAATCAATGTTCATAAAATATTCTTAATAAAAAGATGCAATATGGCGCACGGGGACCCACACTTAAAAATCCTAATAAAGGAAATATTGAATGCGTGCAAATCAACCGTAGGCAAAGACGGGGGAAAAAAATTTTTTTTTTTTTTTTTTTTTATTTACAAGAAAATATTGACATCGAGAATTTAAAATTTTTTTTTCCTTTCAAATGAAAATAATTTTAAAAAAATTAACGTGGCGTTAGAAAAAACCGGTTTCTTATACCTTCCTCCCCGCCGGTATTTTATCGTATCAGTTTCATTGCGATAAGTTTTAGAATGATTCTTCAATGGAATTATGACATTGCAACAGCTGGACTGAGGGTCTCGAAATGAAACTGCAAATTTCCACTTTAATATTGACAATTTGGATTCAATAATCTAATTTTTTTTCTTTTTTTTTTTCGTTCAATTTTATTATTATTATTATTATTATTATTATTATTATTATTATTATTATTATTATTATTATTATTATTATTATTATTTTTACATAAATTATTAGGCGCGTTTTCAATAAAAACAATTCCCTTTTTTTTTGTTTTTCTTCTCTCCCTTTCTCTCTCTCTTTTCTTTTTTTTTTTTTTTCAATCGGAAAATATTTAAATAAAAAAAATAGGTAATAAAAAAAAAAGCATCGGGAAAAAAAATTTTATTACTCCCCCCCCCCCGCGAATTATGCGTAATTGCCAACAATTAAAAAAAAAAAAAAATTTTTTTTATTCCCGACTTTTTAAAGTTATGCAATTGGTTGTACTTGAGCGTAATGCAAAAAAAAATAGTTATTTTTTTTTGTAAAAAAAAAAATATATTAAATTACGTATATTTGTGTTGTATACAAACAAGCTTAAAATTAAGAAATATTAATACAATTTAATAATAATTATTAAAATTAATAAATCAATAAACAAACACACACTTTTTCTCTCTTTCTCTTTGTTTATATATTTTATTTATAAAAAATACAAAAAAATAATAAATTCGACGAACATTTCTTTTTCACAAAAATATCATTCATTCATTCATTCTCTCACAATTATAAATACTCGTTTTTAATTTTAATTTTTTTTTCTTTACGTAGAAAATATCAAACAACCATCACTTACATACTTTCGTTTTATGACGGTTTAATAATAATAAATTTAAAAAAAAAAAAAAATCATTCAGACGAATATTTAAACACAAAAATATTTTAAAATTAACATACACAAAAAAATATATATATATATATAAAAATGAAAAAATACTTTTTTCTTAATAGAAAACTTAATAAATAATAAATAAATAAATTAAGGCACTGAAAATTAAGGTTTAAATAAAAAAAAATTTGTACCTGAGATTTTTCTTAATTCGTGTCCGAAAAAACCCTTAAAAGATCGATCGACACATTTATAAATAATAAAATAATAAATCATTTATAAATAATAATAGGCACTTGTTTTTTTTTCTAGGGGGTTTAGGGGTTTAGGGGGGGTGGGGAGTTTTCCTTAAAACTATACAAAATTGAGCATTTACATCATTTATCATTTGGCATTTTCATCTTTTTTCATTAATTATAAAAAGTTGAACTTCGCTTTGATTTTGTTTTTGTTTGTTTTGTTTAGATAAAATAAGGCAAAAACTACCACCGGATTTGAAACTGTGACGACATCCGTTAACGAATAATATACCGAAAACTATTGTGCATATAATAAATCCGTACGAGAGAGAAAATTGAGCAACTTTTATGAAAGCTAAAAGACTTTTTATCATGGCTGACACGTCGTCGGGCAAACGATCGATACCCTGGAAAAAAAAAACAATATAACAGTGGTAAGTTTATAATATTATCATAATTTTTGGGAGAGAAAGTGTCACGTGATTTACTTACGTAATCCATCCAAGTAACCGGAAACAGCGTTAAATTCTTATAAGCTCGATTTCTCATGGAAGAACCATAATCGCCAATTAACATTATGTTTAATTGTAATCTTGATTTACCACCGACGGGTATTCCGAGTTTCTTTTTAACATAAACAAAAAAAAAATTTTATGAAAAAATTAAATGATGAACATACCGGAAATAGAAGAAAAAGAGTAAAGAATAATAATTACAGGATCGATTTCCGCAAAAGATTCATGATTTAAAACGTTTGGATTTAAACCTTCCAATCCATTAAATAAAATCGGATCCCCGTATAAGAAATGTGGTAGTGACGTAACAACGGGAGCTTCTAAATATTTGGGAGAAAGAAAAAGAAAAAATTTAAATCACGCACAGTGACATCCGCCATTTTGAAAAGAGGAAAATTTTAATTACCAAAAGCACATGGGCCGACGTTAAAAATACCAGAAGGTAAACATTTGACGCCGGTTTTTTCGTTACTACAAAAGCAAAGATTTTCTTTTTCCACGTGACCGCTTGCGAAAACATTTTCGGGTACTCGAAATTTCATAACGGGAATTCCATGTTTGTCTAAATATTCATTAAAATACGTGAGCGGCATTTTCCTACAGAGATCTTTTGTGTAAATGTAAAGCGTCGAATTCGGATGAACTAATGATGGAGGATAAATTGTACCATCCGTACCGTCGATTCTAAAAAAAAAAAAAAACGTTTTTTCGAAATGAAAAACCGTTAAAACGGAAGTCAAAGGAAAATGGAAAAACTACCGGAAATGATCTTACCGATTACATTCTACAGAATTCCAATAATTAAGTGAAGTTTTACCATCGTAATTAACAACTATGCCAGTTTTGCTTGGATCTTTTTCTCCTGTGTAAATCGTTACGACATCTTTTTGAGTTCCGTTTTTCTTTTAAGAAAAAAAAAAAAAAAACAAAAACGTCACGTTTCGAAAGTTGAAAAAGGAAAGAAAAGAAAAAAGAAAAATAATTTTTATAAAGAAACTCACAGAAGAAAGAATACCAAATTTTTTAAATGGTAAATCGTAACGAAATGATAAAAATCCTCTTGCCAACATTGAAAATTTATCTTCGTATCCCCAAAGAAAATCTGATGCGTTTAAACTAATAAAAGGTTCGGCTCCGATCGCATTTAAAAATTTTATCAAAGCCCATCGTACCAAACCCGTTGCTTCCGTTAAAAATGACAGAGCAGACTGAAACAAACAAAACAAACAATTATTAAATTCGTCGTGTCATTAGTTAGACGTGGAGTAAGAAAAATACACTTACCAAAAATGGTAGATTTGGTACCACGATCATATCCGATTCGCTACCGTTTGAATTTTCCGGTGAAAATATGTAGATTTTTTTATCTTTATACGTTGCCGTACCGTTTTTATTAAATCTAACATCGACTCTTTCCCATTTTTCTCTATTTAAAAAAAAAAAAACAAAATGGCGGAATTAATAATATTATTATCGTTATGAGAGAAAAAAAGAAGAAATATTTACATGTACGTGTATGGTCCTAATTCTTGTATTTGAAGTTTTTTATCGATTCCTTTTTCAAATTCTTCAACGTTTGTATAATTAAATATATAAACTCTTAGATATGCGTGTACTGGAGGTGATTTCCAGGCTTCATATCTCATGGAATTATTACTTATAATTAAATTTTTATGTACTAATAACGTGAAGAGATCTGTGGCCCACATTATGTAACAACCGGATATGCAACCTCCTAATGCAAGGCATAGAGTAAGAAAACCTGTAAACAATCACGATAACGATAATTATTAACGAATCGATTTTCATTTGTTTCAATTCAATGTTTGTCGGATCGTTTCTCAAATTGTTTGTGCGTTTGTTTGTTTGTTGTCTCTCTTAGGGAAAAAAACATTTTTTATTAAAGTTCGATGCGTGATCAAAAAAAAAAACTGACCTGATAACCTGAGCAAAAAACAAATTAATCAACGACATAATTAACATAATTTAAAAAAAAAAAAAATTTTTTTTTTCGTATGAGGAAAATGAAAAATTGAAAAAGGCATCGCCGCCATTTTTTTTAAAAAAAAAAAATCAATCGATAAATCGTTATAATAATTGACCCATGAATGAATCCTGTCAAATTATTTTGTAGAAAAAAAAACCAAAAGTGACATTTTATATTTTTTTTTTTTTTTTTTTTTTGATGATGGAATAACCGAAAATCACATAAAATTTTGGGTCACCAACAGAAATAATAATAATAATAATAATAATAATAATAATAATAATAATCAACAGGCTGAGGAAAAAAAAAAAGAAAGGCGATTGTGAACATTGTCACGAACCGAATTTTTTATTTTATTGTACGGACGAAGCGCGCGCGGAAGGGGCAGGGAGTAGGGGAGTCGAAATGTGGGGGGAGGCGTAGGGTGGGGGGAGGCGTAGGGTGGGGGGCGGGGAGGTTGTGTCGTCCCACCCAAAACTGCCTTCGAATTAATTACTGATAAAACACATCCTTCACAATCGTCGTGTCGGGTCGGCGGTTAAATCTCTCTCTCTCTCTCTCTCACTCTCTCACATTCTCACTCTCTCTCTCTCTCTCTCACTCTCTCATTCACGAATCATTATCAAATCATTATTATTATTATTATTATTATTATAATTCGAAACGAAATCAAACGTGTAATAAATGGTTTGGTCTCTTTATGTTTTAAATACAAAGGTCACGGGGTCGCGAAAGGATGCTGGGAAATAGTAGGGAAAAAAAACGCACGCGCACGCATACACGCATATACGCATAATAATAACGTAAATATCGAAACGTATTCGAAAAAAAAATTCGGTATATGTAAGATAATGACGACGAGTTCGTTGATTGGGTCACGAATTTTTTTTACAGATATTAAATGATGATTCCCAGCATCCCACGTGACGATCACGCCACCTCATAAAAAAAAACTAAACAAAACAAAACGTTAAATAAAAATAAAACATTTTCATTTGTAAATAAAATACTCACGCCATTTTCCGAATCAACGAATCAACGTAAACGTTGCGAAATTCACTAACTCATGTTTATAATTAGGATTTTTCTTAATAAATTCGAATCGATAGCGAATTATGTTAATAACTTATGACAATAATATTATCATTATTATCATCAATAAATAAATAAATAAATATTTTCTCTCTCTCTCTCTCTCTCCCCGTCTTTCTTTCTCTCTTTCTGTCTCTCTCTTTACTGGAGTCAAGGCGTTAATTATTTCGTACGTCATTCCAGAATTTTTTGTTTTTTTAATTAATTAATTTATTAATTACTCGTTTTTTAAGGTTAATAAAAAAAAAAAATTTTTTTTTTTTTTGTTTTCTGCTACCACGACAAAATAATTTTCCCAATGGATTTAGTATTGTAACAAAAAAAAAACATCCTTAAAGGGTTTATTAAAAGTCAAAAAAAAAAAAAAAAATTATTTTAATTTGATGACGTAGTAATAATATTAAATTCGTGAATGTTTGAATGAATGAATGAATGAATTCATGAATAAATAATAATAATAATAATAATAGAAAATTTACCGCAAAATGTTTGAGCTTTAGACGATGATGACGACGACGACGAAGATTTGATTTTATTTCCAAAAAAATTTGATTTTGTCGTCGGATTTGTTACATTTAATTTTGTTTTCTTACTTAAATCTTTCATTTTTTTTTCGTAGCCATTTTTTTCTCCTTCTACAATTATTTGTGTGAGCTGTTGTTGTGGTTGTTGCTGTTGTTGTTGTTGCTGTTGTTGCTGTTGTTGCTGACCCGTTTCGAATATTATTTTTGTTTTTTCCATAATTTAACCTGTTCGTTTACATTAAATAATAATAATAATAACATTCATTTATTAAAATTTTTTAATAACTTATCGATAATAATAATAATAATAATAATAATAATAATAATAATAATTTAAATTAATAATAATAATAATAATGATGATGATGATGATTAACGAGCCGGTGTATGAAGATTATTAACAAACGCCACGTTAAGTTTTTTTTTTTTTTTTTAATAAATAAATAATTAAAAATTAATAATCGAAATTTACTTACATAAAAAAATGACGACGACGATGATGATGATAATAACCAAATAATAATAATAATTTTCACAAAAAAAATTTAAATAAAAAAATAAATAAATAAATTATAATTTAAAAAAAAAAAAAATTAAAAAAAAAAAAACTTTTAATAATATTATTAATAATAATTTAAAAAGTTAAAAAAATATTTATTTAATAATAATAATAATAATTAATAAATAAATTAATTAATAAATAAAAAATAAAATAAAATAGAGTAATTTATTAAACGAGTTATAGAATAGAATTGATAAACGTTTCTCTAAACGAAAAGCTTGTTATATCATGTTGAGGTTTCGACCTTTACAAGCATCCATCAAAAAAATAATTTTTTTTTTTTTTTTTTTAAATATGTTTTGAAATGTTTATGTTTAAATTACTTTTGTGTTTTTACTTAAACAAAAAGAGAGAGAGAGAGAGAAGGAGAGAGAGAGATGTACTTATTTGCATCATTTGTTTACTATTTTTTATTTATTTTTTTTTTCGTACTTTTTATTTTTAGTTTATTTTGTTACTATTACGTTTTATTATTATTATTACTATTATTATTATTCCTATCGGGTTTTTCTATGACGTTTACTGTTATTTTATTGCCCTCCAACAGAAAAATAAATGCGAAATGACGACGACAGGAAAAATAAAATAAAAATATTATTATTATTATTTACGATTTTTTTTTCTGTTTGTCAATTATTAGAATGATAATCGATTATTAATTACTTTTATTATTATTATTATTATTATTATCGTAACTTTTTCTTTTTTTGGGGGGAAAGGGGGTTGACGTGACGAAAAAATATTTTTTTTAATTTTTCTGGAATTTCTGGAGATTATAAACTTAACGATTTGAAATCATGGATGAAAATTTATTATTATTACTAATTATATTTTAATCACGTGATTTAAAAAGAAAATCACGTGATTTTTTGTTTTAAATTAGGTAAAACAATAATTTATTGTTTTATGTAATTTTCTATTGAATCGTTTCAAATTTCCTTTTTTTCCAACCTTCCTTTTTTATTAAAAATAATTTTTTAATAAAAACGTCGACAGATTGTTTGTCAATAAGTAAAAAAAAAAAAAATGAAAATGGAGAGTTAAAAAAATGTTTTAAACCGTAGCAAAATCATTCGAGGAAATTTTAACAAAAGAAGAAAACTATTGGAAAATGGGGGAAAAAAAAAAAAACATGATGAAAAATTATGGCAGGGAGTTGTAAACAAGGTTTCATAACATTTATAAATTTATTAACGGACAAAACTTTTCCACCTCTTTTCAAAAAACGAGTCACGTGATCCTAGGATTTTTCACATTCAACGAAAAGTATCAATTAAAGGAGCAATGGAGATATCAACAAAAGTAAAACAAATTTTTTAATTAATAATAATAATAATAATAATAATAAAAGGGAAACAATACCACGTGGTATTCCTCAGGTTCCAAAAGGACATGAAAATTTTTGGAATAAAACCCAATCGTAAAATTCATTTAAAAATGTTGATGATGATGATAATCATCAATAGCAGAAAATTTTCGAAAAAAGAATCAATTATTATTATTATTATTATCACACTTTTTTTTTTTTTTTTTTGAAAAAATTATCTCCTCATAAAAAAAAAAAAAAAAAATTTAAATAATCAGTTTTATAATAATTTATTATCATTATTATAAACGTTGACTCCTCGACGTCTCTCAAAAACTTTTGAAAAAAAAAAAAAAAAAAACCGGAAATTGAAATTATCTTCAGACGCAACAAGCATTTTACCCTATCCGTCACTTCCGTCTGTCTCAACCCTTTTCAAAATTTTATTTAACACCCACCCAATTATTATTATTATTATTATTATTATTTGACTTTTAATCGTTTGATAAGTTTTATGTTGTGGATGTGACTGAAATTTTCCAGAATGATATTCCAGAAGAATACACACATAACGCCATTTTCTGTACGGTTACTTCTTTTAAACTTCCTTTTATTGAATGTGGCATGGATGGCTCCCAGTGATGCTCCCACGATAACCAGAATAGTTTCTGCTTGTACTCCCCACATCCTGGATTCTATTTCAATTTCCAAATTCCTGTCTTACACCCTCTTTTCCCTATTACTTCAATCAGTTTGTACCATCATGTCTCATAATGGGGTAACCAGTTTTGCTTGAATTCGATGACGTAATCAGGTTTGGAGTGTGTTGGCGCCTTATTTTCCAACCCCATCAGGTTTAGGGTAGGTTTAAGGTATTAACAAATTTTATTATTTATTTTTAGCTCTGGTCATGTTCCTACAATTTCGTACATTCGGAAATCAAACGATCGATGGATGGCCGTCGTCAGCGTTTTTCATGGGTAAGTTTAACATTTGACCTTTTGTCAGATTTCTTAAAAAAACTATCCTTTCGGACGTAATACTACATTTCATTATCATTATTATTATTTAACGGTTATGAAATTATTAAAACGCACGATAGTTCGGTTGCACTTTATAAAAATAATCCTTTAACCTTTTTTATCATTTTTCCTTTTAGTAAAAGGTTAATAATTATTTATAAATAATTATTTACCGCCATGACGCGTTAACATTATCATCCGAAACGAAAGGGAGGGGGTAAGGGGGATGATAAAAAAAAAAAAATTAAACGTTTTCGTATCCTACAGGGGATGAATTTTAATGTTTGAAGAAAAAAAAAATCACGTGACCTATAAAAAAAAACAATTAGTAAATTTGCAAGTTGTATTTAACGTCACTATATAAATGAGGTCACACAGGTCACGTGTGAATTTTTTTTTATTAAAATTAAATTCGCGATTATTTATAAATTAATAATAATAATGATTTTTTTTTTCTGTCATTTTAATTGATTAAAAAATTTATTTTTCTAATATTTAAATACGTCATTAGACAATTATCACGTGATTTTAATTATTATTATTATTATTATTATCATCTGATGATGTGAAATAGGTCATACAAAAGGTAATAATAATAATTGAATTTTGTTAGAAGAGAATTCAAATGATAATTCCACCAAATGATTTCATCAATAATCCTTTTCGACACTCGCTCACAATTTATTGGGTTCCTTTCCTGGATGAGATTTAGATCCTGGTAAACCCCCCAACCCCACACCACCCCCCCCAATTCAAGTATAAATAACATAGACGTAAAAAAAAAATTATTTTTCTTTTTTTGTTTTTTTTTTTTTTGTACAAACTTATGTATTTATCAGAATGAAAGGAATTAAAATCTAAGAATTATACTTATAAAAATCATTCAATCTGTCATAAATCTTATTTTTATTAACGAAACAAAAAACTTTCAGACACTTTCTTGAACTGGTGGTTCATATCCTTTAGGTCTGTCCACTTTTGCTCCAGGTTCATCCGACGCTGCTTTGCTGTCACCGTGTAATTCTAACAATTTACTTAGATCGAAACGTGGTTTCTTTAAAACTTTCACCTACAAACACAAACAAACAAACAAACAAACAATCAAATAAAACAACAAACGTAAACAAACAAAAAAAAAAAATTCTTAAATGTAACACTAACTTTTCTAATATAAACATCGTGCAAAGGATAAATTTTTTGACAATATTTTTCAATTTCCTTAGCTATTGAATCAGGCAGTAATTTTTGAACGACATCTTTCAAATCTGAATCGGTCACTTCTTTTGTTATTATTTCTGTCATCTTTTTCCTTATCGCTCTTACTTGCGTGTGTTGAGCATAGCATGTTTTTTTCTGTGACATTTGATCTTTATTTGTAAATCCAATACAAAAAACCCTCAATAAATATCCATCTGTTGTTTTAACATCAACATGAGCTTCAATTAATGTCTAGAGAGAGAGAGAGAGAGAGAGAGAGAAAAAAAAAGAAAAAAATGATTTAAATTCGAGTATTTTAACAAGTTGGCACATGATTCAACAATCATCATTATTATGTAATAAGTAGAAAAAAAAAAAAATCAAATCAATTGTCTCAGACTTTTCCGCTCCAGATATCAATCAATTTCGATAACCAGAAGGATAGTGAAAGAATTTTAATTTTCCAACAGCATAGAGATGAATAAAAAAAAAAAAATTTAAACATCAACGAGGCTGTTGGGACATCAAATGGAGTAGTAGTAGTAGTCATATAAAAAAAAAATAATAACAAAATCATACATTTTGATATGATAAGGTAAAAATTTAAAATCAAGTATTTTTTACCTGCCATTTTTTAACCATGCTACGAAGCTTGTCCGTAGTTAAATCCATCCCGTGAAAATTTGTTAATACATTTCGACCCTGAACATCTTCTGCTATAAGTCGAAATTTTCTGAACGACCTTTCAGCATCAGTGTCATTTTGAAGATCGGCTAAAGAAACTTCAAAAACACGATTTTTCAAACCCTCGGATGCAATTTCTAAAAAATTTACAAAACGCACGAGGTTAACATACGCACTTGGTTTAATCCGGGAAAAAATCCGCGTAAAATGAATATTTATTTACACGTAAATTGTAAAATTCAAATGAAAAACAAACGAGTTTTGATTGTAAATTAAATTTTACTAAAAGTTTAAAAGGTTTTTATGTGAAATCTACGAGTTTCAAATGCAAGTTTTTAATGTGTTATGAACATCTGTGTACATAAAGAAAAACAAAACTTACTTGTTCCTTGAGTTCTGTTAACCAAAGTTTTACCTATTTGGCGAGTTGCAAACATTGACGGAGCTTTGACATCGTACCAATCCTTTCTGGTGAAAGGATCAACCCTAAAATAAAAAACCTTATTAATAATTCGCCAACACAACACTTTACACCCGGCACGAAACAATATTTTATCAAGTGTTTATCACAGCCATCGGCGAGTAAGTTTCCAACACCAAAATACCGATTTATAGTATTTATTTAATAGACTTAATTTAATCAACTTCTTTTTACTTACACTTTCTTTTTAACACCTTTTTTCCCTCCTTTGGACAGTCCCTTATTCTTACCGACCGCCATTGTATACTATAATAGTTAAAAGATGGTGGTTCAAGACGATGTTGGCAGCAGTGAGTTAAGGGCCCAAAAAATATAAAAGTCCGTTCAGATTTTAAAGAGTTACAAAGAACTTTGGAATTGTAGTAGAAAATGTTTACAGTAAACAATTATTTAAGTTTTAGATGCTAGTTTTTATTACTTTTAAATTTTTTCTTTTTTTTTTTTTTTTTTAACTAATTATTATTAATATGTAACAATAAAAGTTATTTTCATAATGAATCTGCAAACTCTTTTTCAAGATTTTAATCCCAGGTTTGAAATTTTATTTTTTTTTTAATATCATGTTTATCTGTTGCCATTGAAGGACGAAAATTTTTTTATTTAATATTAATTTTTTATTTTATTTCATTATTATTCATTCGAGTAGTTGTAAGTTTCGTTTTTTTTGTGTAAGACGTACCTTTTTTAATCATACCTTATTAATCGAGGAATAATAATTAAAAACTTTAAATGCGTATTTGTAGTTTAATTCCTTTATTAAATACATTTCGTAGTTAAATCATTAACATTTCATTTGTACTTATTAGTCCTTTCATTTTTCAGCAAGTTTTTAGTTCACACATGCTTGATGATATTCACAGCATTATTTGCCTTAAGACTGGATGGTGTTATACAATGGAGTTACTGGACTGTTTTTGCTCCTATTTGGTTTTGGAAATTTATGGTGATAGCTGGAGCAACTGTCGGAAGTTACGTTTGGTGGAGATGTCCACATTTTAGGTATTTAACATTTATTTTTTATTGTAAAATTCTTTTTGTATATAATAATAATAATAATAATAATAATAATAATAATAATTGTTTTAAATGACAGGTTAGAGGGTGAAGCCTATGTTCATTATAAAGCAATGCTTATAAGTTTAGCTCTGCATCTCATATTACTAATGTTTGATTTGCTAGTCTGTGATAAATTAGAAAGTGGAAGGCATCTTTGGATTCTTGTTTTCATACCTCTTATTTTCATATCTATAGTGTCAATTGCAGTTAGTATTTGGGCTGTTAAACATGACAGGTCATTTGAGGTAAGTTTAAAAATTCGACAGCCATGTGCAAAATCAATTTTTTTATTCAAATGAATTTCTACATCATTTAATATTATTATTATTATTATTTTATAATAATTATTTCCAGTTGGAGCTTTTTTGCTCTGTAAATATTCTTCAGTTTATATTTCTCGCTCTCAGACTGGATGGTTTTATTTCCTGGAGTTGGGAAGTTGTTTTCGTACCCTTGTGGATAATAATGTGCCTGAGTTTAGTAGGAGTAGTTTATAGCATAATATTTGCAGGAATATTGTTAACAACAGCACAAGTGAATCCTCAACAAAGGAGAACTTCATTTAATTCAGCTCTAAGTTACACAATACTTGCCATACCGATCCTTATATTTCAAGTAAGTCAAAAATAAAATTTTTAAACCCGAAAAAAAAAAAAAAAATGGCTGCCGAGTTTTTTTAACTTTACATTATTATCAAATAAATTTTTTTTTTGTTAGGTTTTACTTGCCAACAAACTAGATGGTGATATAGACCTGAGTTATTGTGGCGTGGTATCACCTTTATTTCTCAGTTACATAACATTAATTTTAATGTCGTTTGGAGCCAAAGGAGGAAATAAATGTAAGTTAATTTTTCATTACTTGTATAACACTTTGACCTTGACGAAAAGAAATTTTTCCCATCTTTTAAAACATTTTAAATTATGATATTCAGGGTGGTTTGGAATAAGAAAAGACTTTTGTCAATTTTTACTTAGTTTATGTCCATTTTTACAAGAATATGCAAACATTGCATATTCAGCACAAGATACTTCGATAAACACAAATGATAACACAATCGATGCCATCATTAATCAGGAAAAAGAAAAATCAATAAAAAAAACGGATTTCGGAAAAACAGTCGTTCCTATCGTATCGATAGACATGCCGGATTGATCGATCGATCGATTGATTGATTGATTGATAGAAATAAAAAAGCTCAAAATTTAAACGTGCGCGAAAAAAAACAAAAAAAAAAAAAACTCGAACTCTGTCAGTGTGTGTTTAAGTTATGATTTTATTTATTTTTTATTTATTAAAAAAAATTTTTTTTTTTTTTTAAATTACCAAAAATAAAATAAAATAAAAATAAAGTTAAATAAAGATAATCATTAATTAGTCTTTAATTATTAATTAATAAAAATTTAAATTAGTTAGTTAAATTAGATCAATTTTTACTAATCGATATGTAAATATTTTTTTTTTTTTTTTTGCGTTTCGAATAATGTTTTAATTCGTATGATTAATTTAAAAGTGTGTGCGTGCGGGTGTGCGTGTGCGTGTGCGTGAATATGATGATTTACGTTTTAACAAGTCTATCGATACGTACACGAACAAAATAATAATAATAAATTTTTTATTTATTTTCAATGCAAATCGTGAGATTTTATAAATTATTTTTTTTTTTTCTCGTTATAACGTATGAATCAACGAATCACGTTTTTTTCTTTTTTTTTTCTTTTAAAATGTCAAAAGAAAATTTAAAAAAAAAAAAATGAAATAATAATAATAATAATAAAATGTTATGTTAAAAAAAAAAAAACAAAATTTTTTGTTTTATATTTATAAAAATTTATTTATTTCTAGTAATTTTTTTTTTTTTTAAAGTTATTTTTTAAATGACAATTTTTCTTTTTCCATATAATTTTTTTTTTTACAAATCTAATGATTTACAAATTTTATTATTATATAAAAATAATAATAATAATAAAATTATAGTCATGGATTATAACGGATACAATACCGCGAGATTATTATCGGGGGATTAAATCGAGGGAGGAAAAAAAAAAGGGGGGGATTCCCTTTTACTTTTTATATATTTTCGTACAAGTTTATTTATGACACGTCACGATTAGTGAAAAACAACACGAAAATTTATTCCTGTCAAATTTGTGATATTCCTCTGCTGTTACCACAACCGGTAAACGAATGATGATGATGATGATGATGATGATCTTTGTAAAAAAATTTAAATTTTAAAACGGAAGTTATTTTTTTAAATAAACTCAATACCTGAAACGTAACAAACAAAACAATTACAAACAAAGACGATGAGAGAAATTCTTTTCGTGTCGTATGACTTTCGATAATAATAATAATTACCTCGTTTTGAAAAGTTAAATAAAATGCGGATAAACCGATAAATATCAATATTATGAATAAAATAAAATAAATAAAATCACGATCTTTTTGCCAATTTTTCAATTCGTCAACGTGTAAAAATCTATTACGATATTGACTGTTCAATTCGAATTTCGATCGTTTAGGATATAAAGAAATATAAAAATCTTGTAAAACTGCCCTCACGATATCATTTTCTTTTTCGTCGTGATTTGCATCCATGTTATTATTCAAACAAATAAATTTCCTATTTACAAAAAAAAAAAAAAAAATCAATCAATCAATCAATAAATTTTGTTAATTTTCTTACATTTAAGGCGTTTTCCCCTTACTTCGGATGACTTCTTATTATGTCTAAACTTTCAACGACTTTACTCAAATTCGACGTGACCATTTTAAATAATGCATCCTGATCTTTTTCCGGTACGAATTTATGCTTGTATTTAGGTATCGTACCAAATTCTTGATTGAGAATTTCTATAATTTTCGGACAATTTTCTACGAGTCCTTTCGTAACGGTCGGCTGGAAAACGAACGACAAACCTTTCAGGTATTTTCTTTTCAAGGTCATTTATAAATAAAATCACTTACCAATACCGAATCGGAATATCTTTCGTAATTATTATTAATATTTTTCGTGATTTCAATCTCGTAATATTTCGAACAATTCAATATGAAACTTTCGAATTCCATGAGTACTCGATAATTTAAAGGCACACCGTAAATCCTTGTCAGCAATGTACGAATTTCTCTATCAGACCACGTTCTGTAACGTAAATAATAATAATAATAAAACGTCATTACTTAATGATAATAATAATAATAATTTACCCGGTTTTATCCGTGTCAAACTCGTCGAAAATTTGACCGGGAGTTTTTTGAATTTTTTGATCGACCATATAATAAAAATAAGAAAATGCATATTGCATATCGTTTTTAGATCTTATTTTATGACTCGATGTTAACGTCCATTCTTTGGGAAACCTTAAATGCGGAAAAAAGGAAAATTTTCTCTTTAGAAATCCCTAAGGAAAAAAAATGAGGTCATTGTTTATGACAATTAATTTATTATTACATTTTTTGTAAATCTTCCATAATTTTTTTATTTATTAAATGAGGCATGTGTGCTAAAACTTTTCTTTGGCTAACTCCAAAAACTTTATTATATAATTTATGCACGTAGAGAAGTGATTCTGCAAACATGTCCAAAACTCTATTCTTTGATTCTTTATTATCATTATCATTATTATTATCATTCGTTTTCATTATTTTTTCATTTAAACTTTTTGTTAATGACATTTGATTCATTTCGTCCATTGTGTAACCTTTGAACAAACAACAACAACAACAACAATATTAAGATACGTTAAAACATTTTAAACAATAATAATAATAATAATAATAATAATAATAATTTAAATAATTAACTCACTAAATGATTTTTCAATAGTTTTATTTTTCATAACCGTCGTTATATTATTATTATTTTTTTTTTCCTCTACTTTAATTAATTTTTTTAATTTTTTCCTCACAGCCTTATTATTATCGACATATTTTTTATTATTTATTCTAACTAATTCGCTTATATTTGCATTTAATTTTTTTTTAACAACATTTAATATTTCATTTCTTACATTAATCCCTTGTAATTTATCATTACCGTCATTATTATTATTATTATTATTATTTAAACTATCATTATTGAATATTTGGAGTAAATTTCTTTTTGTTATTAACGAATCATTTACGTTCGTAACGTTTTCACTATTTTCTATTACTTTTGTTTTTTTCAACGATTCGTATTGTTCTTCGACTATCCTTATCACATTTTCATCTTCCTTATCAACGTTCGTGTCGTATATTAAACCGCTCATTTGATGATGATAATCGTATTTCGGGTAACTGTTACTATTATTATTATTATTTATACAATCTCCGCCATCGTAAGAACATTGTTCTATGTTACAAGGAGGATCGCAACTTCCATCACCGACCCAACTCCACGTGCAAGTTAACGAACAGTCAGGTAAATTCCACGTGATGAAAATTTTTTGACCTTCTGATTCCGTTAAAAAATCCTCTGGCCATATTTGTTTTCCAAGTATTATGTCATCGTTAAGATAAAGAAAATAATCGGATAGACCTGGAATTCTAATTTTAAAAAAAGAAAAAAAAACAAAAAAAGAAATATTTAATCAAACTTTTTTAATTTTATTCGAAAAGAAAAATTATTATTTTCACCTGTGTATGTGACTTTCAATGGCTGGACTACTAAATGTTGGAAGATGTGAATGATTTAAAAATATTTGCTCATGTGTTATTATAGATAATTTTGGATTATCCAAATCTAACCAATATGGTATTTGACCATTTGTTACAATATAAACATGGCGAACCCAAGGTGCATACATTTCTAATGATCTTAACGAATACCTGAGTTCCTAAAATTATAATAATAATAATAATATCGAATAATTTTCTAAAATGGTTTTCAATTTTCCTAATATTAATAATTTATTCATTCAACTTTTTTTTAATTTAAATAGTTTTAGTTTTAATTTATATAAATTATTCCTTTTTTAAAATATGATTTTATTAAAAATTTTCACCTCCATATCTTCAAATCTAGAATTAAATGTTTCGTTTATTGTGGAACTATCTTGTGCATCATTATCATTATTATTATTCAATGCTTGATTTATATTTTTTTGAAATAATGAATCAGATCCATTAACCCAAGTATAAACAACATCAATAGGAACTTTTTGACATAATCTGAAAACAAAAAAAAAAAAAAACATTAAAATTATTTTTTTCTTAACGCTTCTCGTTTTCACAAATATGATATTTTAAAAGAATTTGTATTACATTCGACATTTTTCATTTTCTTGTTTTTTGATTATTTATTAAACATCACATTTATCGAGTGAGTTATACAATGTGATCTTCATAATTTGAATCTTTATTATTATGGGAAAATTACTTGATATTAACACTGTTCTTCCTTTTTTTAATCTTATGTAAAAATTATTTATCGAGGTTTAATAAGTAAATTGCAATGTTTTTTTAAAAATGTTTTTAACTTACTTTTCGTGAAATGATTTTTCACCTATATTATCACTGTAAGAATTAAACATTGATTCATATTTTTTTCTACTCCAATCCACCCAGGTCTGTAACATAAAATATATATAAGTAAGAAATTACTTTTGAGTTTAATACAAATATGTAGTGTGTAAAACCAAACCTCTCCGAAATGAATAAGAGATATGAGAAAAAGAAATCCAGAAATAATTATGAGTAAAAATGAATACTGTAGTGATAGTAAATCATAAAATTTTCTTTGAAGAAATTTATAGACTCCTGAAAATTTAAACATTCTGACTAAAACTTCATTTTTATTTCACTAAAAATAACTTTGGTTGAATAATAATAATTCAACTGTAACATTTTTTTTATTTTATAACCAAATCTGGTAATTTTATTACACTTTTCATTGGTTTATGATGTGTTAAAATTCTTAAATACATTCAATAACAAATTAAAATATTTACATATGGTTTATTTTATATTATTATTATCATAAAAATTAATTTTTAATCATGTTTAAAATTTTAATGAATGAAAATATTTTTTTTTTATGATTTCTACAGCACTTTGCATTGTACATCTAAAAAAAAATATTTAT